AAACTGAAACTAGGGGCACTTGGGTGGCTCATTGGGTTAGGCATCTGACTTAAGCTCAGGTCATGATCTCTCAGTTTGTGAGTTTGAGCCCCGCACTGGGCTCTGTGCTGACAGCTCAGAGCCTAGAGCCTGCTTCAGATTCTGTGTCTCCCTCTCTCTCTGTCCCTGCCCTTGTGTTCTCTTTCTCTCTCTCAAAAATAATAAATAAACATTAAAAAAATTTTTAAAAACTAAAGCCAAAAATCAATAATACTTTATATTTTTAAAAAGAATAATTTAAATCTACCTGCTTAGAATGTCTATTATTGGTAAATATTCACAACATGGAGGAATAGATTTTTGAAGAAACTTTTAAATTAATAAAATAAAGTATTCACAATTTTTACACAGCTTTGTTAACTATTCAAATACTTTCCCCCTACATTGAAATTCTTACCTGGAGGATATTATGATTAGTGATATCTTCACAGTCAGCAGAATCATTGCATGCACCTTTCCACCCTGGTGCAAAAGGATTAACTGGAGAGAAATAAAATACCTTCACAAAAGAATTCTAAAAAGTTCCAAACATTCCAACAAAGCCTCCAGTGCTGAATTTAGTATGCATGTGTGCATGTGTTTATCTAATCTTAGTGATAAAGTAAAATACACAAGTTGAATAATTTATACATTATTATTTCACTCCATCTGGGGGCTAATCAAAGTAACTACAAGGGTTTAAAATGAATGGAAATAAATTTGGTTTGGTTCTTCTCTTTTATTAAGTTCTTCTCAAAAATACAATTTAAAATTTTATAAGAATTTATAAATTAAATATTAGCTGCATAGTTAAAGGCCATATTTATAAAGTGATATTGACTTCTAACAGATAAGCAGCCTGGCTGCTCAGGGGTGCCTGAGTCAGTCAGTAGAGCATGCAACTCTTGATCTTGGGGTTGTGAGTTCAAGCCCTATGTTGGGCATGGAGCCTATTTAAAAAAAATTAAAAAGAGGTAAGCAAAAATATATCGTCGTTTAAGGTAAATAATTAAAACATTAATTTTTAAAACCATAACCAGGCTAGGACCAACAATATACTTTAGTGTGTAACAAACATTTAGGGCCTACTATTTGTAAGATATCTCACATTAAAGAAATGTTAAAAAATTTTTTTTACCTTGAAAGGCTATAAATAGCTCATGTATGAGGCCATGTTTTGGAATTTTAACAAAATGGCATTTATATGATGGTTCTATGACATGGCATGACAAATCAGAGATTAAATTATCCAAGATTTTCTTCAGCACTCTAAAAAGCAGGTCATTATATCTTCCTTCACAAGACTTTGTGGTAAAACGTACAGCCATCTGATATGAGTAATCAGGTTCCCGATAGGCTTTAAAAAATTATGAGAATAAAAACAATTGTGCTTACCATTAATTTCTTCTACCAAAGAACTTGCAAATAACATGTAATATGAAATCCCATTAATCTTGCAAATCAGCATAGAAACTTATCTAATAAAAACGTTTTATCAGTTTGTTCTCAAAAAATATATAAAACTAATAACTTCAATGAAAAAAGGTTGTTTTCATCTGATATGTTATCTAATCAGTACAAGAGAAGAAATGGCTGGATAGATATGTTAACAGTATAAAAAAATAAAATGGTGGAATAGCTTAAAATGCAGAAAGTGTCACTGCTCTCAGCACAGTCCAGTGAAAAGGATCATCAATTTGCTTTTATAGAATTAACATCAGTTTTTAAATTACTTGGCAAAATTGTGATATGGTAGATTATACTTGATTACCTAGAGGGTGGGAAGTGGGAGGCTGAAAGAGGATTGTTAAGGACATACTATCTAGATGTCAATTTAAGAGTTTGTGTGGTCATTCTCACTAAATGAAGAGACCATACACTTAATTCTTATCCAAACTAAATGTATAAGTTAAAATGTGCCCATAGTCTTACCAAAGATCATAAAGTCATATCTTTGCTTTACTATTGTTTCTTCTTGGGTTTCTGCTTTGACAGTCTTATAAGAAAGAGTACATGTGTAAAGTCCAGACAAAGCCTCCAGAAAATCTTTCACCATCAGCTTTCCTGTTTTAGTTATATTTATTTGATTATTTCCTAAACAGAAATAGTAAATTATTTGGTTGTTTAACATATAACAATTCAGACACTATTTAGTAAACTTGGGGTTACAAATAAATACAAAAATTTAAAAATTAACAGACTATTTAAACATTTAACTTCAAGAATTAAAAGAAATCTTAATTCTGTTATACTCTTGTGGAAAGCCACATGAGGTAAGCACACTTTTGAAATATATTTTGGTTTTCTTTAACTTGGTTCTTGGCCTCTAATTTCAATTGGTTTATGCTGGTAACTTAGTAAATGAAATTATACTGCTCTGTAGTACTACACAATTTCCTCATGTAAAACAGAAATTAATGTTAATATTCCCCAAAACTCTTCTAACATCATGAAAAAGCATATATTGGATATTCATCTCCAATACAGATACTACAAAGATAACTTTTAGGTTTTATAAAAACTTTTGAACTAATACCGCTCTGAGAAGTAAGGTACAAAAGGTTTGTATGCTGGTTTTTACATACAGAGAAAATAAGGCACAGACCAAGATACATAACATGATTTGTCTAAGTATGGAGCAAGTGAAACCCCAGTTAAAATTAAATTTCAGGAGTGCCTACATGGCCCAGGCATCCAGCTTTCGGTTTTGGCTCAGTTCATGACCTCACGGTTTTGTGAGTTCGAGCCTTGTGTCAGGCTCTGCACTAACAGTGCAGAGGCTGCTTGGGATTCTCGTTCTCTCCCTCTCTCTCTCCTCCTCCCCTGCTCACGCTGTCTCTGTCCTCTTGAAATAAATAAATAAAACTTTAAAAAAATAATTTAAAAAATAAATAAATTTCAGGGCACCTAGGTGGCTCAGTCGGTTGGGCCACTGACTTGATTTTGGCTCTCAAAAATAAATAAACACTAGGGGCGCGTGGGTGGCTCAGTCGGTTGAGCGACTGACTTCAGCTCAGGTCATTATCTCACAGTTTGGGAGTCTGAGCCCCGAGTTGGGCTCTGTGCTGACAGCTCAGAGCCTGGAGCCTGCTTCGGATTCTGTGTCTCCCTCTCTCTTTACCCCTCCCCCACTCATGCTCTGTCTCTGTCTCAGAAATAAATAAACATTAAAAATAATAAAAATAAACATTAAAAAATTAAATTTCAATTTGTTCATTCCAATAAGTGACAGTGCTTTTCTTTTTAAAAAAGTCCATATCATTTTAAAAGAAGATACTGATATCAAACAAATTACCTGTTAATGGCTTTTCATTAGGCCCAATCCATATGTAGGTGGGGTCCACTGTTTCTTTTTTAGCACGTCTAAAATCCATACAGACAAGGACTGGGCTATGATGATGTAATTTTACATATAATTTCACTGTGACAAAATAAAATAACATATAGCCATATTATTAGCAAAATTAAGAAATACACGTCCTACCATTTTGTCTCAAGGACACACTAATTCTTTTTGGATTTCCTTATTTGAAAAAATAGCCTATCATTATAACATTTAGAATACGAATATAAATTCCTTCTTGCTTCTTACAAGTTTTTAAAACTCTAGATTGATAGTAAATATTCTTTTTTTTCTGTGATATTATAGTTTTGTTTATAAAAATGTACATGATGCATTTAGTTCATTTTAATGTACAGATTCAGAACTCACTTGAATCAATTTTTTGAAGGGTTAGTGGAATCAATTTAAAGATCAGAAAAGGGGGGCCCTTGGGTGGCTCAGTGGGCTGAGCGTCAGATGCTTACTTGGTTTCCGCCTAGGTCATGATCCCAGAGTCCTGGGATCCAGCTCTGTCTGGGTCTGGCTCCCCTCAGGTAGAGCCTGCTTGGGATTCTCTCCCTCCCATGCTTGCACTCCCCTCCCCTGCTGGCACTCACTCTCTCTCAAAATAAATAAATTTAAAAAAAAAAAACCTTTAAAATTAAAAAAAATAATAAAAAATAGTCTACTGAATGCCAGCCCCTGAACATACAAAGAAGGTACCGTCCCACGGTTTGGCAGGTGGTGAAAAGGGGAGGGACTCCAAACATGGAGAGCTTCCAAACATGACAAATGCCCAAAGTTATCCCAAAGTTATCTCAAGTTAGCCTGTGGGACCAATTTTTCCTTGGGGAGTGTGGGGAAGTGTTATCACAGTGATAAACAACATTTGAGCTGAGCCTTAAAGGATGTGTAGGAACTCCAAACGGAGGACTTGCAGCCCTGGAAATCACTCTGAGTGGGCCTTGCATGTTGCAAAGCAGTAGAGATGCCTGGAGGAAAGGTGGCATCAGAGAAAGATCTGGATTGAATCCTAGCTCCTTATGAGCTGTGCGACTTTAGGCCAGGTGATACACTAAGGTGTAGCAGGGTCTCTGTAAGGATGAAAGGACGAGAGTGCCAAGCACCAGGTGGATGGTCAATGAACTTTCTCTCCCTTTCCCTCCGCTGAAGAACCTTAAGCAGGTCCACTGCTCGCCACCCCCCCCCCCCCCCCCCCCCCCCC